CTGCCTTCAGGTGGACCTGGTCTCTGTTAGATCATGCGTGTATTTTTAGAGGAAAATTAACATGCCTGTAATTTCAAGGTAGAATTGGTTCAAACCATAAAGGAAAGGGTTTACACAGCTCAGGCTTTCTGCTTTGCCTGGCTGTTACTGCCCCTTGTCAGCTTTAACTTGGAAAGCAGTTTTCCTAGAAGTGTTGTTGAGTTGCGTGATGTGATGGTTTGGTTACTGCCATTGTGAAGGAATGTGAAAGCTGTGTGTTTTCATCAGAGTTAACAGCTGTCATCGACAAATGGCTGAGATCGCTGTGAATGCCGTCCTCACCGTGGCAGATATGGAGCGGAGAGATGTTGACTTTGAGCTCATCAAAGTGGAAGGCAAAGTGGGTGGGAGGCTAGAGGACACCAAACTTATAAAGGGTGTGATCGTCGATAAGGACTTCAGTCACCCGCAGATGCCAAAAGTAAGTTGTTGCTCTTACACTTACTTGTACACTGTTTGCCCAAGCCCTGCCACTCAGGGTTCTTTCTTCCCCACAGCAAGTGGAAAATGCTAAGATTGCGATTCTCACGTGTCCGTTTGAGCCACCTAAACCAAAGACGAAGCACAAGCTGGATGTGACCTCTGTGGAGGATTACAAAGCCCTGCAGAAATATGAAAAGGAGAAGTTTGAAGAGATGATTCAGCAGGTAAGTCCTGCAGTGCTGCCTGAACAGACTCCACAAGCTAACAATTACCATCTGCAAACTTTGTCACCTGGCTACAAATAATGTATAGTGCATCCTGTGTTCAGTGTCAGGCCCAAAAATAAGTACAGTAAGAAAAACCAAGTGGTATATTAGGAAAGACGTTGACTTTTCCTGGGCTGCTTTGAGAGTTTGGCATCTTAGCTGTGCCTTTTGTTACCACCTGTCCTGGGCTTGAATGGAGCAAACGAGAGCTTTGAAGTAACAGGAATTCAAGCCTAGTTTAGATAGCAAAATGGTTTCCATTGACACACATGATAGTGTTGAGAGGAAAAGATAAGGCCGCACACTCATATACTTCCTTCTTTTAGTGCACTGACTTCACACACTGCTCTTAATGACTTCAGATCATGTAACAAGGAACAAATACTTGTTATTAATAAGAGTTGTGGCATTTCTTTTCCCAGATTAAAGAAACTGGCGCTAACCTGGCTATTTGCCAGTGGGGCTTTGATGATGAAGCCAATCATTTACTTCTTCAGAATGCCCTCCCTGCAGTTCGCTGGGTAGGAGGACCTGAGATTGAGGTAGGAGGCCAGCACTTAGAGCCCTTGTTGGGTGTGGGTGAACCTGCAATGCATGCTTGTATTCTGTGCCACTTAAACAGCATTTGCCTGAAACAACCACCACAGCTTAGAGAAGAGTAACTATGGAAGAACATTCTGGGATTGTGTTTATTTGGATGACGATACTTTGTATTTCTGGTGTTGCCAGTCTACTCTGGGCTTCTCTGTTGACTTTTGGGGGCGGGAAACCCTGGTACTGTGGCAGCTGGGTAGGAACATCTCTCCCAAGCCATGATTTGAACAAGCCTTGCTTCCCTTCTGCTCCGCCTGTGCTCTGGGGACGTGAGAGCTGGGTTCACAGACAGGGCTCCCACTGTAAGATGGGTTGGGAATTGACTGCAATAGAGCTGAGTATACCAGTCCCCTACTTTGGTCTAACATCGAATGAGCGAGGTGATCCCGGGTTAAGTGTCCTTCAGGGTAGTCCAGTTTTGGAAGTTCACTAGCATTAACCACATCTGTCTGCCCTCTAACAGTTGATCGCCATTGCCACAGGAGGACGGATTGTGCCCAGGTTCTCTGAGCTTACCTCTGAGAAGCTGGGCTTTGCCGGTATAGTGCGAGAGATCTCGTTTGGTACTACGAAAGACAAAATGCTAGTCATTGAGCAGTGTAAGAACTCGAGAGCTGTGACCATTTTCATCAGAGGAGGAAACAAAATGGTAAGGAGCTGGGAAGTGGCTCAGTGCAGCCAGGGTTTTTTCTCTACCTACATGAGGTGCTGAGACATGACCTTCTCCCCCAGATCATTGAAGAAGCAAAACGATCCCTCCATGATGCCTTGTGTGTCATCCGGAACCTCATCCGAGACAATCGAGTTGTGTATGGAGGAGGGGCTGCTGAAATATCCTGCGCCCTGGCAGTCAGTCAAGAGGCAGATAAGGTAACGGGCAGAATCGAAGTGAAAATTGCTGTGTCTGGTTTCAGGAATGTTCTAGTTCATCACCTTCGTTCTCTAGATAAGTAATCATGGTTTATTAAGCTTGCCGTGAGTAAGTTTGCCAGTGTATGCTTAGGAACTGCTGTAGGAGCCGGGTTGGCTCTTGCCAAGTGCACTCACTGTCTGTACCCTTCCAGTGCCCAACTTTGGAGCAGTATGCTATGAGAGCTTTTGCAGATGCCTTGGAGGTCATCCCCATGGCCCTTTCAGAAAACAGTGGCATGAATCCCATCCAGACCATGACTGAAGTCCGAGCCAAGCAAGTGAAGGAGTCCAACCCTGCCCTTGGGATTGACTGTTTGCACAAGGGCACTAATGGTGAGTTGTTTGTTGGCGTTCTTGGGTGACCCAGGTTTCCATTGACTTGGAAGGTGGTATGCTCTTGCCACACATGAACTATTGCCTTGTGAGTTTTTAAATGCACTTGGATAGTTAAGTTCTTGGTTTTAGTTGTTTGACTTGATTGCTGTAGGACCTGGTCTTAGTGACACACTCATTTTGCTATACAGTTCAGCCTGTCTTCCTTCACACACATGTCTGTCTCAGTCTGTACAGAGTAGTTAGTTACACCCTGGCACCTGGCTGTCCTGTGACTTAGGGTGTTTGGTAGACTTGTAACTCTGTAGCAGCTTGGCAGCTCTGCTGTTAAAAAAAAGTGGCAGACATTAACATATTGAAACTTTGCTAGTTTGCTACATTTGTTTACTGAACAACAGTGCCTGCATTCCTTCAATGAGTTCAACAACAGAATAAGTATTCTGACAACAGCAACTCCAGCATATAGCAGGAGTTGAGGGTCCAGGCTACACCAGCATCCAAAATAAAAAAGCTGCTGTGACATGAGGTATCTACTGACTCTTTTGCAGAGATTGTGCATCTGGGTGCTTTGAGATGTCATGTCACTGACTAACTTCCTTATAGGCATGAGTCCTGGCACTTCTGCTACCAGGTTCCAACATAAGCATGTCCTCAATACTAATGAAATACATCTGAAAATGACAGGGAAAACTGTAGCTCATTGACTGCTACAGCTTTAGAATTTTTGGTTTGAGGTTTTGTCTGTCAAGATTTATTAGCCAGTGGTGGTGATGCATACCTTTAGTCCAGCACATGAGAGGATCTCTTGAGTTCCAGGACAGTCAGGGCTACACAGGGAAACCCTGTCTTGGATAAACTCCCTGTTATGTGCATGAGTGTTTTGCCTGCATGCATTTAAGTGTGCTACATGTGTATGGTACTCCTGGGGACCAGAAGAGTGGAACTGATCCCTTGGCCCTGGGGTTAATTGGACGGGTGTAAGCTGCTGAGTGGGTGCAGGAAACTCAGGTCCTCTGTAAGAGCACTTGATGCTCTTAATCGCTGAACCGTCTCCAGCCCTTTTACTTACATGGTTTTTATTTCCTTCATTGTTTGACACTGTTTGCTATAGATAGGTGGGTATATGTGTAGATGTGATGTATTCTCGGTATTCTTGCCCCCACATCCTGTTTCCCCCTGTGAGTCCCTTTCCCACGATCCTGCTTTTGTTCTGAGTTTAACCAAAACTCACCTGTGGGCTCAACTGAAGACAAAGATCACCCAGAGTCCACAGGAGCCTGTAGTTTAACAGGAAGAGATAGGGCCCCATGAGCCTCTCTCTCCCTCTGTGACTGACAAATGGTGCCGTTTTAAACCAGTTTTGTTTTTGAAATGCAGTTTTGCCATGTTGCCTGGGCTGACCATGAACCTCAGCCTCCCCAATAACTAGGAACATAGACATGAATGCTGCAGCCTGCTTCTTTTTCTAAGCTTTCTTGTCTACATACATTGAAGCTGTTTGTTGATAGTAAATTTTTAGGCTCCGGGGACCACTGATTGCTGTTTGTTTTTCAGATATGCAGTATCAGCATGTCATAGAAACCTTGATTGGCAAAAAGCAGCAGATCTCTCTTGCCACACAGATGGTGAGAATGATCCTGAAGATTGATGACATCCGTAAGCCTGGAGAATCTGAAGAATAAATTGTACCATCCACCACTGTGACTAAATAAATGGTGTGTCATGCTGCATCTGCAGTGACCACTGGTCCTCTCACAGCCTGTAGATGCTGGAATAAAAACAGCTGTTTGGGAACTGTTGCCCTCGTTCAGAGCTCAGTACAGGATACAGTCTCGCAGCTTCTCTGTTCCTTAGATGTCTCTAAGCATCCTTCATCCGCAGCATTAACCATGTAAGGAAGCAAAAATACACTATTTGAGCAGCTTAGCTGTCCTGTTGTCAGGAACATGCGCTACCCACCAGAAATCAGAGGCAGGGCAATCCTGGCCATAGAGGTCCATGGGGTCATTCCTAAGTTACACAAACACTGCAGGACTAAAGCCAGTGCTGGAGACTGGTTTGCTGAATGGTGGCCACAGTTAACTCAGGTGCCAGTCAGAACTGGCATGGGCATCACTGTCCCTCTAACGCATGCTTAGAGGGCAGCTGAGGCACAGGCCCTTTTTGGCTGGTATAGCATGCTTAAGCCTGGGAGGTCAGACCCAGCCCAGTCAACCTGGTACTCCTGCTTTCAGTGGATCCCATGAAAAACCGAACATTATTGATATCTGGAGCCTCGTTCTTGGAAATGTAGACTGTGTATGGGCTCTGCCCTCCATCTCCACCAATTGAATGGACATTTGCAGCCCAGTCTTGAGCACACAATACCAGTGCTTGGGGAAAGTATACACATACAGACACAGGTGTTTCTTTAGAAGTAAAGCTACAAATTCATAAATTTTTAAAAAATCAGTTTATTAGGTTGAGTAATTGGGTCTGTGGAACTGAATTCTGGGACTGGTCACAGTGAGTGCATATGGGTGGCATTGAGCCCATATAACACCTAGGCAGGGTTAACCTACCTAGTTAACAACTTGTGACCTTCTGGCTTTACACATGAATTGTTTTACCAGTGTTCAGTTGACAATGTAAGGCCGTGTCTGAGCACCCAGCTGGTCCCTGATGGCCCCAGATTCCCCTAATAATTACAATTACACTGTCATTTGAATTCTCCATATATCTAGCATTTATTAAAATTTTCTATTGCATTTTTTTTAGCTTAGTTTATGTTGTATTTGTTTCAGAATTCTAAGATTCCCGTAACTTACATAAATAAGGAATCAGGTGGTCAGTTATTTCTAGGCAGACTTGATTGCCAGCTGTCCTGTGTGTGAGTGCTGCTAGAGGAACCTGTTCAGCCACTCAATGAGGTTCCTCCTCGCCTCCTCAATGTAGGGCTTGTCTTCAGGGGAACAGTCTTCTCTCTTACGATGCACAAAGCCATGAGTTTGCCCAGAAAATGTTTTAACTTGGTAATTAACTATGCAGTGTTTTTTCAGTTTCTGGGTCAGCACAGAGACCTAGTGTACAAAAGAAAAAAAAAAGTGAGGTGGTGTCACTTAACCCTGAGCTGGCGTACTTTGCATAGTGAACAGGCTCCAAGCTGCTGGATTGACTTCCAGTTCCTAGCCCCTGTCAGGGATTGCAGAGCAGCATAAAGGTGATACCACACCAATTATAGAAGATACATTTATCCTGGGCTGATACCGGACAAATCCACTGTGAACAAAGACTAGATCAGAATGTTACTGGGCATGGTGGATTGATGTTTCTACCCCTAGCAGGGAGGTAGAGGCAAGCAGGTCTCTGAGACCAGCCTGGTCTGTGCAACGAGACCTTAGTATACAAAGGATACTTGGTGGTGGGGCCTGCTGGGTTGTCCCCTACAGCACTAGACAGCTGCCCCACTGGCAGTCCTAGCATAGCAAGCACAATGACACAGACCCTTGTTGGTATTGCCTAGTGACCCTGGGGTGACTGCTTTTAACTTGGCCGTTTTCCTTATCAACTTCTCCACATAATAAGTCTGACACCATCCTTAGGGTAACTGGTGAGCTACTGTGGAGACCATTCCTTCAAGAGAATAAATAGGCAGTGTTGGGAATGTTTCCTTGGTTCTCACTCTGAAAAGACCGTTCTGGGCTTAAGTTCCGTTCTTTGGAAATTTTCATCATTGGAAACAGTTACAGTGATAAATGAGTTCTTTGGAACTTACTCCAAAAATGTTAAGATACGCTATCAATGCCCACTTACCTGTTCAAGGGGGATCACAGTATCATTTTCTGCAAAAATGAACAATGTTGGGTTCTTCAGATTGTAAATTTCTTCAGTGTCTCTTATGATGCCTGGAAAGAGTTGAGATTGACATCCACAGAAAGCCGCCTGTTACATCTGGTTATAATTTTCAAACCGCTGCCCTAGAAGTTTCTATGAAGACCTATTCTGGTTTCAGTGGACTAGATAGCCATTGGACCAGGATATTAATCCAACAAGAGTCCAGTGCTCTGCAGGTCATTGTATGAAGTTCAATGCCCACCTCTTTGAGTTCTAAAGGTTAATGAATGAGTACAAAGATTGCTCTGCCAGGTCCAGGTGTGTTTACTTGGGGAAAAAGCAAGTGTGTGTACTGTTGGAAGACTGGGCAGGAAATGGCAAGTCAGGAAGGCACACTTGCCACACAAGCCTGAGAACCCGAGTTTGGTCCCAAAACCCACATTAAAAAGTTGTTTTCTGGTTTCCACACAGGCATTGTATGCAGGTCCACACAGTACATGATCACGATGATTTAAAAAAGAGAGAAAAGCAACTTTTCCCCTGCTTCCTGCCCATGTGATAGCAAAGCTAAGAAGCACACAGTGTCTCCCTTCCCCACACCCTTTGCCAGGAGGCAAAGCCTGAAAGGATAGCTGTGCTCTCTGACCAACTCTGGCAAAGACACATAATGGGTCTGGATATTGAGTGGATATCTCTTGTGCCATAACCTTCCACTCAGATGCTGCTCAACAGCAGTCAGCAGGTGGCGCCAGAGAGACAGGCACCCTCAGCCTGACAGTTGACAGGCCTCATGTCTGAAGCCAACAATTGATTCATTGCATCTGTTCTGTTGTTTGAGACTGGCTTTCACTATATAGCTTATGCTGGCCAGAAAATTCCAATCCTCATGCTTCAGCTTCCCAAGTGCTGGGATTACAAGTGTGTGTGCCATGCCTAACTATATTTCCTTTTGTGTAAGGAAATATCTTAGTGTTTTTTCTTAGTGCTAATTGTAGATAAAGTGCCATGTCGAGGAGCATATATACTTAGGCCAGGTAAGAAGTACTTGTGCATGTGTAACTTGAAATAGCAGTCGATTTTCTTATATTTTTGATGATTTTAAACTGTACTCTTACATTCTGCTTCTGCCAACAGATAGTTTTTAACTCATGGTTAGAATAACTTGTTTTCTTTTGGCTAAAATGTAAAAGTTGGGGCCAGAGAGATGGCTCAGTCGTTACTGACTACTCTTCCAGAAAAGTAGTCAGATTCAATTCCCAGTACCCCCATGGTGGCTCACAGTCATCTGTAACTAACAGGGGATCTGAAAGCCTCTTCTGGCCTCCATGGATACCAGGCCACACACATGGTGCACAGACATATGTGTAGGTAACATGCCCATACAATTCTTTCATATCAGCTAATTTTTTAAAGTGAAGTTGCTGTTTGTAATTTAAAGTGAACTTTGCTTTTTTTCTTTGCGTGAACAGGCACACGATTGCATTCGATGCATAGGTACCCATGCATGTGGGATGTGTTCCTGGGGAGCCTTCCCACCTAGATGTTTGAGACAGGACTTAGGACTTAACAAGTAGGCTAGGCAAAATGCCCAGTAAGCCAAAACATCTGTCTCTGCGCCCCTTAACATAGGTTCAGGGACCAAATTCAGGAATTCCTCCTTGAATCCCTATACTGACAAGACCTATCTGAACCATCTCCCCAGTTCTGTTTTCAGATTTCAGAAAACCATCAGGTTTTGTATTGCAGCATGTGAGAGAGGCCTGTCACTCAGTCACCCTCCTTCCACTGAGTGACACAGCCTGAGCACTTACCATAAACAGACACCCCTGCTCTGACTTCTGGGTACGTCAGCATCACGTGGTGAACAGCAGCGCCCCCCCAGCAGAAGCCTACAATGCCAATCTTCTGGGCATGGCACTGTTGTTTCAGATACCTCAGGACAGCCTCGACCTCTCTAGGATAAAAAGAAATGGCATTGGAAAGGGTGCTGATTGGTGAATGTTCAAGGTTAGGGTGACTGCCATGTCTCAGTGAACATCACTCTGTTTTTATTTGTTTGGTGATGAGAATCAAAATTCTTGAAAGAAGCTGTGACTGCAAAGCTGGTGCTTACAATGAAAACCTAAGTAGCTGTGGAGAGTTTGGTTGCAGGTCTGCAGCCTAATTACAGAATATCTTGAGCTAGCTTGGCCCACTAATAAGCCATTTCTTGTCCACCTCTGTTGGCTCTAACTCCTGTAATTGGCAGATAAAGCTGAACCTAACATCCTGATAAACAGATAAAAACCTTTGGAACTATCAACCCAATAAAACCCTACTCTCCACCAAACAAAAAGCTAAGAATGCTGGCAGTATGTGGGTCCTATAGCTGAAATTTATTCTGTTGCAACCACACAATGTTTCCACCAATGTATTTGAAAAGTGTCTTGAATTAGAATTTATCTTTGTTCTGTTACTATAAAACCTTAATGACCTGCTTCCATAGTTGAATGTGGAATTTGGGTAAACTAAATCTCTGTGGCTCATACCTGACCAATCAGAGAAGAGCAATCTCCTGATCAGCATTTTGAGTTTCCAGGATGGACTGCAGAACCAATCATAACTGGGGGAGTGGGTTGCTCTCCAGGTTGCTGGGAGAGAGACTATGGAAGAATGGGCTGACTCTGAGATGGGAACTTTTTCATTATTTAAATAACTTTTTTTTTTCATTTATTTTTACATCACAACTAGTTTGCCCTCCCTACTCCCATCTACCCCCCCCCCATCCTTTCTCCATCTCCATTCAGAAAGGGGCAGGCCTCCCATGGGCTTGCACAAAGCATAGTGCATGAGTTGAAGCAGGACTGAGCTTCTCCCCTTAGGTGGAGGCAGAGCCTGGTAATCCAGCTTGGGGAACAGGTTACCGAATGCCAGCTAAGCGCCAGGACATCCGGTTGAGCTCCTCCTAAGACCAAGCTACGCAATTATCACACACGTGCAGAAGACCTAGGTCCGCCCCATGCAGGCTCCCTGACTGCTGGCCCAGCGTCCTTGAGCTCCCTCAGGCTCGGGTCAGCTGTCTCTAGGTTACTCATCATGACCCCTCCCCCCTTGCCTGGTAAAACTCCTCCCCCTGTCTTAGTTGGGATTGTCCTTGTGGGTTTCTGTGGTTTCCCTAGCCCCAGGTTTCTCCCTCACCCCAGAGGTGACAGCTTCTTGGGGATGAAACCAGCATACAAGAAGTGAGGCCAAGCTGCAATGGGAGAATGAAAGTTGGGGAGACCTTTAAGCTATGGGCCAGTTTCTATTTGATGCTGAGCTAATTTCCTTGCTTCTATAAACCAATAGCTCTTTGAACTGCTGATCCACTTGGGATAGGTGTCCTAACTTTTGCAAACAAGCACCCATGTGGATGAAGGGCTTTGAACTCATGGATGCTAAGGGAGGTGAGCAGCTGTGCTTACTGGGGCAGTGGGACAAGGATGTCATTGTCCATCTGCAGCTCATATAGTGTGCCAGGAGCAAAACTTGTTTCCATCATGCTGTTGGAAGGACTTTGTCAAGGGCCAGACAAAGCCCTACCCCATCAAGGGGGGAAGGGAGGAAGGGAGGGAGGGAGATTAGAAACGTAGTGAAGCCTAGCTCCTCCTTGGGCTGTGTCACAAACAAAACCAAGCCTGCTGATAACATACCGATTGATTTCTCTGGGGTTTCTTGATTTTATCCACTCAGGGAAGGTGGACCGGTCTGCAGCTGGGTCCCACGGCTCTCGTCCCACAAAGAAGTCTGGGACAATAGTTCTGTAAAATATGGACATGAATAAACCTTTGGTCACTTCCACTCAATGTCCGTCCAGGCTCATTAAGCGCCTTGATGGGTTGCCAATTCTAGGCAGAGGGAAAGAAAAGCCTGGGCCACTAAGGCCATCTTTGATTGCATCAAAGGTCATCTGACACCAGGCCAAATTGCCTAAGCTTCCACAGCTGCAGGTACACAGCTTCCAGCAGCTTGGTTATGACCCTGCCACCAGCAGGAACACTTCTCGAGAACTACCCCAGTGCAGAAGAAAACCCTGGACTGGTGGGCAAGGGTATGTACCCTCAAATGTCCTTCCTTCCTCCATGGAGTAAGTTGTTATCAGCCAGCCCAGGACTTTCCTGGCCTTGAACACTGGCTTTGGCCAAAGTTCACCCCTAAGGAATATGACTAGTCATTGTGATCAAGTAATGCTCCCCTCACAGGCTATCAACAGTTTCCTCCCCAAGAGTAAGGTCCACAGCAGGTTCTAGAACAGGCCACAGAAAAAGTAAACAAGCAAAGTGAAGACTAACAGAGGGTTCCTCTGCCCTCTACGTACTCACTATGATAGGCATGAATCCTCATATACATGTGTGTACATCGTGCACATGCACAAATCATATAGGGGATCAAATGACAGAGGTCCCACCACAGGCCACTGGCACAGTTTGGAAATCATGGTCATTACAAACCCATGCCATTCTCCTAGAAGCCAACTCACTGAGATAAGGAAATAGACAATGTAAATGAGAATACAGCTCAGACTGTGTTAGGTTTTTGGTTCTATCTTTCTGAAGGAAACAAAATGGACCACAGAAGTTCACATGAATTTAAGCAAAGAACAGAACTTCATACTTACGTGTATCCATTTCCAGCAATCATGTCAGCCATATACCTGGTATTGGGCAGCTGCCAACCAAATATATCCTGGATGACAATCACAGCTTTGCCTTCATCCACAGGGGATCGGGTGATATATGCCTTGATGTGCTCAACCTGAACTTCCTGGCCCATGCCACCATACTCCATTTTGTGACCAATGTCACATGGGCAGGGGTTAGCTTCATTAGCCATTGGGGTCTTGTCGTCAGGCTACAGAGGAAATGAAATATTCATTACATGCTGATTAGGACAGATTTAATGATAATCTAAATAAATTATCATCAAGATTACTGGGAAAAACATACAACTATGGCATTTATTCTGAAATAATCCAGTGGTGTGCTGGCTGTTGCTGACTGTGGCTTTGACTTCATTAAGAGACACATAGGTGTTTAGTGATCATGCCATTTCCACAGACAGATAGATCATGGTACTAAGGACTTGTTCCACAGATTAGTCCCATGAGGTAGAGCTTATCACCATTCCCATGCACGAAGAAGTAAATGGAAGCTGTGCAGTGCTGGGACTGGGAGTCAAATCCACATCTTCTAGCTCCAAATCCTAGGCTTTGGATTCAGACACACTGTTCAATTCCTAGCCTGCTCATTTAATAGCTGTTTAACTTTGGGCAGGCTGCTTAACCTCTCTGTGTTTGTCACTTCATCTGAAAATGGAGCTAGTCATCACAAGTACTTACAAAAGATTAAAGGAAAGCTTGACACGTAGTAACACTAGACAAATACTAGGAATTATTACTATTATTTCTCCATAGTAGAAAGAACACAATGACATAGAAAGATGACAGCAATTGCTGTGTCATTTGTTAGCAATTTTTAAAATAAAATGAGAATGTGTGTATGAATGTATATATTTTTAAAAATATATTAGTGCCTTGATGATTTTTGTATCAGGATATACAGGTAATGTCTTCACAAAGCATTGGCTAGGACAATCTTTTCAAACAGATATGAACAAACTTCCTATATAGTAACTTAGATGTAAATCTTAACAAATACTTTATGTAAATGTTATAAGTGTGATAACAAATCAATCTGGAAATATAGCTCAGTTGCTAGAGCACTCATGCTCTAGCATGCATGCATGAAGCCCAGAGTTAGATCCCTAGCACTTCATAAGCCAGGTTGCTTTGTTTTAAATAACATTGCCTGATACTTGGGAGATTTGTGTGAATCTTTATTTCAATTCCTTGAATAAGAGACAGCAAGCCTGAAAATGCCTGGCCCAGACCCTGAGCAATTATCCTGGTTGGTAACTCAACCAGCATTTAGGAGGTAGAGGAGGCAGAAGGATGAAAAGGTTAAGGTTATCCTCAGCTACGTAGCAGACTGCATGGGAGAGAGCATGTCAACACTAACTAAATAGGACAAGATCATAACAAAAACTCAAAACGTTTAAAAATCTTTTACATATTAAGTTGTAAGGCAGTCCAGTGCACTGCAGAGAACTCCCCAGTCTACACTACAAGTATTCAGGGGGACAGAGGGAAAATGAACTCAGCCTCAAGAAGACATTGGAAATGAATCCACTGAGGCTGCTATAACAATACAACAGCTCAAAAGCAATTGCATGGTCCTGAAGACTGAAGGGCTAAGAAGCCCATGATCAAAGTGACAGTCGCTCTGCTGGCTGTAGCAGGCACTCTTTCTGACCCACAGATGTCACCTCCTCCATGTGTCCTCACATGGTAGCAGCAGGCAGCTCTCTGGAGTCTCTTGTAAGGGTACTCATAAAATCCTAGGAGGAGCTGGGCCCTTGGGATCTTTTCCTCTCCCATTGGCCCCCACCTCCTGACTGCATCGTCTTCAGGATTACATTTCTGTGCAATTTGGAAGTACATGTGCATTCAAATCTAACAAATCCTTCAAAGAGATGAACAACAGAAGAAACTGAAAACATTAAATTCTGAATCTTTGATGAGTTCTAAACCAAGCTCATACACAGCCAAGATGCAACTCATAGACAGAGGGAAAGAGAGAGAGGGGGAGAGAGAGAGGGAGAGGGAGGGGAAGAGAGAGGAGGGAGGGAGGGAGGGAAGAAGGGAGGAAGAGAGGGAGGGAGGGAATAAGCACAGGAACACCATGGGTAGGGAGCAGTGGGAAGTAAGACAAAAATAAATCTAAAAACTAAAATGTAAAAGGTGTTCAGCACCTGAAGAATGTTACCCAAGGTTGTCCTCTGGCCTCTCCATGCATGTACATACATGTACACCTGAACACACATGCACAAAGAAATAAAGCAAAGCACGAATTATCTACAGTCAGTGGTGAGATTCCGTGGAACCTAGAAGTAAGGGACACAGGAGGGAACTGTGCGCCAAGGTAGCTGTGGGGCCAGAGTTGCTTCATTCCCTCACAGAACTAAAGACTAAGATCAGAGAGGTGGGGGCTGGAGAGATGCCTCACAGGTCACTGCCTGCTTTTCCAGAGGACCTGAGTTCAATCCCCAGCAACCACATGGTGACTCACAACCATCCATGATGAGATCTGATGCCCTCTTAAGACCTGCAGGGACACATGCAGGCAGAACACTGCATAAATAATAAATAAATAAATCTTCAAGAAAGAAAAGAAATGCAAATCTTGGGGGCGGGGAACCAGAAAGGTTGAGACTTAAAACCAGGGGAGGGGGACACTGTCCTAGATCCCCCAGGCCTTGTTTGTCCAGTGAGGCGATGTCAGGTGCCAAGAAAGGCACAGCAGGGTTCTGTACAGTCTTCCCATAGGCCAGCCAGACAAGGGCAATCCACAAGGGAAGGACAGACTGGCCAGGGAAGGAACAACAGAAGCCACATAGAGTGACTCAGCTGAGAAAACATGTCAGAGAGGCCCCACACAGCACAGCAGAAATCACAAATCCAAAGCCGAGAATGCAGAATTAGCCTGTTCCATGTACATGCAGGGGACACTTTCCTTTAACACTGGACTAAGGCTTGGTTTCTTAAATAAGACTCCCAAATCATACCATCTTCAAAGAAAAGGGAAAGATTAGTAAATTTTAATTTACTTTAACTATTAAGGAATTAAAAAAAAAATGTTGGAACTGGAGAGATGATTCAGTGGTCAGAAGCGTTACTAAACCTGCAAAGGACCTGAGTTCAGTTCCCAGCATCCACCTTAGGTGGATCTGAAGTTCCCTGACCCTCAGGATACCAACATGCATACAGAACACATAAACTTATTCTGGTACACACACATAGATATAATGAATTTTTGTTTTGTTTTGTTTTTGCTTTGGAGCCTGTCCTGGAACTCGCTCTGTAGACCAGGCTGGCCTAGAACTCACAGAGATTCACCTGCCTCTGCCTCCTGAGTGCTGGGATTAAAGGTGTGCACCACCAATGCCTGGCTGGATAAATTAAAAAAAAAAAAAACAAGCTGGACAGTGATTGTGATGGTGTACATGTTTAACCCCAGGACTCAGGAGGCAGAGCAGGGGCATCTCTGTGAATCTGAGGCTAGCCTGGTCTACAGTGTGAATTCCAGAAAGCCAGAGCTGTTCTACAGAGAAACCCTGTCTCCAAAAAAAAAAAAAAAAAAAAAAAAAAAAAAAAAAAAAGCAAGAAAAGAAAAGAAAATGAATGATGAAAGAAAGAAAGAAAGAAAGAAAGAAAGAAAGAAAGAAAGAAAACTACAGAAAATTGAATATTGAGTGGATGTTTGAAGATGTGGAGAATGGCGCTGTGATGGTGAAGGAGGGCACTTGCACATGGCAGTCTTCTCTTTCCCAGACAAATAACATCTGGGCAGATAAAGATGTTTCCCTTTGTAGTGGGTGAGGAGGGGAGATGGTCCATGTTTCATCAGAGTCTTCAGTGAGTTGTTAGTTCAAGATTGCCCTGCTCTCTCTACTTAGATGTCCTTGAGATTATTTACAAGTTTTCAGATGTCCACTACAGAGAAGACAATAAAGTTACTAAGAAATAATTAGGATGAATAACAAAATCAAAAGGCAAAGGGTATGGTGGTGCACACCTTTAATCCCAGCACTCAGGAGGCAGAAGCAAACAGACCACTTGAGTATGAGGCCGTCCTAGTCCACATAGCAAGTTCCAGGCCCCACTGGGCTATCTACTAAGATATTGTCTAAATAAATAAAAACAATTAATTTAAGAGCTGGGTGGTGGTGGTACATGCCTTTAATCCCAGCATCTGAGAGGCAGAGGCAGGCAGATCTCTGTGAGTTCAAGACTAGCCTGGTCTACAAGAGCTAGTTCCTGGTCAGGTTCTAAAGCTACACAGGGAAATCCTGTCTCAAAAAAAAAAAAAAAAAAAAAAAAAAAAACTATATTATTAAAAGGCTCCATAAAAACTCTGATATTTCATACAAATCAAAGAAACAACACAGATTAGATGTGAGCCCTGGAGAAAGTCACAGGGAGGGGTACACATACTGCCACACATTAGTGAGTTGCCATGTGGTTGCTGGGAATTGAACTCAGGACGTCTGGAAGAACAGCCAGTGCTCTTAACCTCTGAGCCATCTCTCCAGCCCCTGCCACACATTAGTGAAGAAGCAGCATTTTTAAAATTTTTATTTTATTTATTTTTTCATTTTTATTTTATTTACTTTTTAGTTTATTTGGGGGGGTTCAAGACAGGGTTTCTCTGTGTAACAGCTCTGGCTGTCCTGGAACTTGCTTTGTAGACCAGGGTGGCCTTGAACTCACAGGCATTTCTGTGAGTTTGGCCAGCCTGGTCTACATAGTGAGTGCTAGGATAAGCAGAGTTACATAGTGATATCCTGTCTCAAAACACAGGCACACACAAAAGAGAGTTGGGGGGTGGATAATATTGGGCTATATCAGTGGTTCTCAGCTTTCCTGATGAGTCAGGAAAAGTCCACTGTCCACACTGCTCTGGGCAGAGGAGGAAAGTGAATCTTCAAAAGAGAAAAAAGTGAAAGCCAGTAAGCAGCATTCCTCCATGACTTCTGCTTCCGTCCCTGATTCCTGGTTCCTGCGGTGTGTTCACGCCTTGACTTCCCTCAACGATGGAGTGTGATGTGAAGGTATAACTATCTTTCGGTCATGGCGTTTTACCACAGCAATGGAAAGCAAAGTAGGCCACCGCCACCGGAGGGACTACAAGTTGGGTAGAAGCAAGCCTGGGAGAGAGACAGTGAGAGACCCTGTCTCAAAACAGAATAAGAAGAAAGGAAGGGAGGGAGGAAAGTGGTTCCATGAGCT